ATGTCAATATTTAAACGCCCCCGCAAAAAGGCTGTAAATCTTTAAAAGACACACACAGTGTCACTCATATCCCCCAGCCCCTATGTCTTAGTATTTCAAGCTTCTCCTAACTTGAAAACAGCTAAGTAGCTGACGTTGGTATCTGCTATCTATTTACTAGTAAGCAAAGAATTTCCGACTGTTTCGATAACAAAATTGTGCCYCAATTTAATGATTTTAAACAGGAGGATGTAAATCACTTGGTTTAGAAATTTTTCTGCTGCCGCTTTGCTTAACCCAGCAGTCAGGTACTTGGGGGCCGTATGGCTGGTTTATGGTTTCAGCTGTCTTTTTAATATTTCTTTTCCAGGCTGAGGGCACTCAACAGACTGCAAGTAATATTACAACATTTGGTAAGGACAGCATTGTGTTTGACTGAGTTGGAAGCTTTCAGGACTCTTGACTCCCCTGRGAAACACAGCACATGCAACTTCTAATGTGTCTGCTCATAATGGTTCTGAAAATTGTCATTTATTGCTCAGGCACAGCATTGCCCACMTCTTTGAGCACTTTGCTACAAGTTTCTATAATACTGTAAATTAAAGCTTAATTATGTTGGCTTTACTTACCTTTATAGATGGCTTCTGTGTTAGATTCCATAAATTCCTTAAAAATCATCCCACTGTGAGTGTGAAAATAGTTCGAGATTTCTTTTCTGTGGTTAAAAGTTGCGTAAAGACTAAGCAGGGTGTACATTTGGGTTTGTAGTGTTAAACTGACAGTAAGGATATATGGAACTGTCATTGTTCTAATTGTTGCAGATATTTTCAGAATGTCACTTTTAAGGAACCATGGGTTTGTGTTTTATCAATAGGGTGAGAAAGTTTTGTTGGTTAGATTTTGGTGTTTGGGGGCTTTTTGTGTGTGTGTTTCTGTGSTAAATTTTATTTAAGTGAACTCAAAATGTTGTTGTAAAACTGTATGGCCCAAAAACCTGAGGTTTATTCTTCTGAAGGACTCAAACATAAAGTAATTTCCAAAGAACTGTTTAGTAAATGCAAATAGAAGCGCAGTGGGAAAAACTTAGCATACAATTCCAGAATGCCTGTTTTGTGATCCTAAATGGTGTGTTTTGAGAATGTATTTCCATAAACACTTTTGTAAATATGTTACTCAAGTTCTCTAACTGATGTAATTTGCTTTATTTATTCATTTTTGCATGCACAGAAAATGTCTAAGCAAACAGATTCRACAGCAGAAGTGTTGTTGGAAAAGAAAGGGGGTGCAGGAATAATAACTCTGAATAGACCCAAGGCTCTCAATGCACTGAATCTGTCTATGATCCAACAAATTTATCCTCAAATAAAGGTTAGTAGCTCCACTCTATGTTGTTTGAAACCAGTTTTAAAATGCAGTTTGACACTTCTTAGTATACTGATGTAAAGAATGAAAGTCTGTGTGAATGCATTGGCCAATGAGCTCAGATTTATAGAATGGGAAAGAAACAGTTTCAAGCAAGTTAGAAAGAGGAGAAGGTACGGCCATTGGGAAGCTGTCAGAAGGGCTGGCAGGTCACTCCTTAAATAAGAACTCAATGGATTTACAGCACTGTTTCTATAAGATAGGAAAGTACCATGTACCATAAGATTTTAATGGTCCTTTTAAATGTAATGGTACTATTTATGATATGCACAGAGTCAAATTCATTGGATACCAATATTTGTTGGATAATTGTCTGATGCCTTTTGTTATTTTTGTAGAAGGTTGTGTTGCAAATTTGTGCATTATTTGAAGAACATTTAAAAAAAGARATACTTATTCTGTAGTAGTGGGTAGCAGGTTTTATTTGAGGCATAACCTTAAAAAGTGTCACAGTTTCTGATATATGTCAGGCCCTGTTTTATGGGGTGCTGCCTTTCTCCAGAGGCTGGGAGCTGTGCACAGGTGTTTTTTCTGAAATATGTGAGACAGCTCTGCTGATTTTTGCTATCATGGTTGAATAGGATGCAGAATTGGTAGAAGGACAATTCGCTCTTAAGACAGACTGTTTTAAAGTATGGTTCGATTTGCTTTTTTGAAAAGTAAAGTAAGAATGATAGACATTATACAGAGCAAGTATTTTTTGCACAGATTTTAGTCATGTGGAATTTTTTTCTTCTTTTTAGACATGGGAGAAAGATCCTGAAACTTTTCTGATAATTATAAAGGGATCTGGAGGAAAAGCTTTTTGTGCTGGGGGTGACATCAGAGGTARGACTATACTCACCTAAATATTTGATGTCTTTGCCACTTACTCCTTTGTGTCGATTTCTGTTGTTTACTGTGACTTGGGTAAACAAAAGCTTGCTACACAACTSTGAGAGATCAGTTGTGCTGACTCTTATGACACGTTGATGTGCAGATGCTATTTCAAGGTATTTGTTAGGAGACAACTGCCAGGACGTTGTATAAGAGAGTAAAAATTACGCTTTCATAAGAAACTGGTAATAGCAGCCAGTCATTCTGGGGAAGAGAGAGTTCTTCTCTTTACCTTTCTCTTCCCAGATGTTCATTGCTTCTTTACAAGACATTTGAAGGGTCCTAACAGGTCGCACTAATAGTATTGGATACTTTGTGTCTGATGTTTTAGATGGCTACATACAGTCTGGCAAGGGTGATCAATGTATCTGTGATGATATTTTAACGATGAGCACCAGAAAATCTCCAAAGTGTGAAAGTTAGCAGTTGTTGTAAACTGTAGAAAACAAGCAGAGCAGCATAGGTTATTGTTAAATTATGTTCTGCTCTAACTGGCTTCTCATTTTTAGTATTTGGAGTCTTCAGTATAATCARTTTTAASTGATTGTTCTCTATATTGATGAGTACTAGGCACTAGAAGGGGTTAGAAARTGGACCATACTCTTACAAATATGTGACAAAGTCTCTAGCAAAATTCAATTAAATCAAATTTGAGACTTAACTAATATGTAAATGTGAGCAAATTTTCTCAAATATAATAAAGCAGGATTAAGTTGCTSTCTATTTGCTGTAGGAGGAGACCCAAGTTTTGTGACATTGTTTTCTTTTACTTGTATTTTCTATTAAACTTAAAGTTATCTTCAGAATTTTTATTTCTCTTCAGCCATCACAGAAGCAGGAAAAGCTGGAGATAAAATGTCACAAGATTTCTTCATAGGAGAATATAGGCTGAACAATGCCGTTGGTATGTAATAGCAATTTCTGAAACAGTATAGTTTTCATAACACTGGCTTCAAATGTAAATTTATCTCTTTGATAATCTATTAAAGACTGTGGTAACATCAGAGAAGTAGTAATTATTTTTTTTACCAAGCTTAATACCAGTAATTTAACATATGTCATTTTTATATCTTGCATGCAGAATGTGTTTCTTTTGTTTAAGTTATTATGACAGCTACTTTATCCCATCCCCTTGTTCTGGTTAATTCTATTTCCTCTGTGGAAGAATTAAGGTTTGACTGCAGACACTGCAGTTCTGCTCTAAGTATCATCGATCTGCTTCAAAGAAGACCTGAGGTAAAAATAAATGAGTGGCAAATTATTAATATTCAGTCAGAAAGCAGAAGATCAAATTGTATTAAGGCTTTCCACTAAAACAGACTGCATGAAAGCCTAGGACTGCATAACTCAGGAATGGGCTACCTTAGTTTATTGCAAAGAACAGCAAAAACRTTAGGTGAAGTTTACTGGAGTAAAGCATATTAAAAGCGGATATTAATTCTTTAGGGTAAAAGTTTTGGGGAAGAAACTACTCCAAACATACGTTAATTAAATACAGTTTGAGTTTCAAAATACTGTGTTAGTCACTACAGCAGGGGAGGTGAAGGTGTTGCTTACATTGACAGAAGARCACAGCTAATGGAGTAATTCCTGAAAAGTTATTTTTGCTTTGACAGAGTTTGTAGACTCAGCATACTTGTCATGTACCTTTCTTTCCTTCACCAATACAAGGCAAAAAAAATAGTCTAAGGTTTCACATAGTTGGGGAAAAAATAGTGTTGTCTTGACAGTTGAACATGATGATGATTTTGCAAGGGTACATAATTTAAAAGTCTGGTTTTCTTTTTAAATTATTAGGTGTTCAGTATATATAATGCATGTAATTACAAAACCTAASTTTTTGATAGCTTTAGTATGATTGTATTCTTTTAAGACTGAGGTTTCTTGTAAAAAGACTGATTTATATAATACATTTGACATCTAAAAATACAGCTGCTTTCACAGCATTGCAGTAGGAAAGGCTTGCTGCTATARAAATTCAGTTCAAGGCTAGCATCTACAGCCCATGCATTAGCTTCTTTGTTCATGTAAGAACAAAATTCAAAATATAATTYTCTTACATTTTATAACTACTAATTTCAAGGACTGAACAGCTTTTTAATTTTTTTTTTTAAACAAGGCTCTATATAGTTGTTACAGAAAAGCTAGTGACATGGTTGCAGGGAATACCTATATTAGCAATCTTTTTGAACTTTAAATCTGACCTGAAAACACTGAAATACAAGACAGCTGTTTCATTCACAATAAAGTTCTGAGTCTTTCCATGAATGGTAATTGAAAGCTTTGAAGCTTTAGTTTTATGCTTTCCAAAGGCCCCAACCAATAAAGTTGGTAGTTYAGGACATTGCCATCTGAACCTGCCTATACCACATGCAGAGTTGCATGCAAGAGCTGGCATGACAGAACATGCTTGCCTTGCAGAAGTTYATAGTCACATTGTGACTGGAACCTGCCARTACATCTGGCTTTGTAGTAAAGCACTGAAGGGCTGGCATACACCCTGTGCTGTTAATCCACTCTGAGAGGGGGTGAAAGGGCATCTGCTGTGTCCCAACATCCAACAGCTGTTTGTAATGGCTAAACTGTCAGGTACTCACGTAACAAACAGTCCAATGTTTGGTAGCTGTGTAATGTTCTCTTTCAACTTTCACAATCCAGTAAGCCTGAAATATGTTTCTTTTCATTTCTTAAGAATTACATGAAATACCTTCATTATAAGTTTTTAAGATGATTATTGTTTAAATTACTGTTTATTTTCTGCTGCTCTTGCTGAAGTAAGACATGGGGAAACATGTCATGTGGTAGTTAGTCATAGGTCTACTCTTGAAAAAGATACATGATTGTTTTTCTTTTTGTTTCCTACAGGCACTTGCAAGAAGCCATATGTGGCACTTATCGATGGCATTACAATGGGAGGGGTAAGTCAAGTACCTTGGTGTGATACCTGGCTGATTGTTTTAAAATAATTTAATGTTCTGGCTGTGAGTTGAACAAAGTGCACACCAAGTATTTCATTCAATACAAGAACAAGCAGTGTAATTTGAACCTTCGTCCCTTGCTTGTCTGGGTACATTGCTGCTCTTGGAGTGCCTCTGCTGTTACTTGATGGCCAATACAAGTGCTTTCTCTGAGGAAAACAGCAGAATCCCCTCACTGCTGGAAGTAACCCTCACAAGGGTTTTCAGAATACTGAGCAGGGAGTTTTTAGCTCGTACAAGAGCTGAGAATCGTTCTCTATTCTAAGTGTATTAAGAACAGAACTATATGAAAATACACTTGAAGAACAGCTCTTTGAAAAACTGGGAAGATTCTAAGCTACACCTTAACAGACATTAATGAGTTCTATTTTTTTCCAACAAATAATCTGGAAATGCATCTAATTTCTCACCTCTGTAGTACTTTTAAAACATTGGTTGTGGGATCCTGATTTCACACACACCTTAGGCGCTCCACCTGATTACTAAAGCTATACAAAGAAGACTCCATCATGTTACTAGTTATACTCAATGTTAATAATTTTTTTCAGCAATTGTTGTCTGTGAACACTGTAAGTAGATAGTTTACAGGGCAATGCCATGCTTTTTTACGTGCTAAAATTCTGTTCTGTTGGGTTTGACATCTGTAGGATATATTTGCACCATATCAGAGAGTGCACTACAGTAATCTTCAGTTATTTTGAACAATAAGTTCAGTATGAAGTCTGTTTGCTGTGTAATTGCTTAGATTTGTATTGTTTTCTGGCATGTCCCTATGATACGGGTGTACAGTCTATTTAAATAAAGTTTGTCAAAGATAGGATGTGAGAAGTGGAACAGTGTATGATGCATGACCTGCCATGAGTCTTCCCTTTCCATCTTTCCCTACACATGTCATTTGTTTGTTTTGGTCTTTTCAGCTTGTGATCTAAACACACAGTAGCGCTCTTGCCCTTTGCTGCTCGGGTGCCAAGTCCTAAAGGTCTCAGCTGGGGAGCCATTCCCCCAAACCTAGTATACATACATTGTTTCCAGCATAGAAGAGATTTGTTCTGTGGCTCTTCTTGCAGAAAAAGTACTTTATTGACTGTRGGAGACCTGAAGGTTTGTAGATAAGAGATAGGAAGTCCCTTTATTTTATGGACTTTCGAATAATAGGATGGAAAGCTATGAATGAGCAAAACTGCTCAGAAGCTGATATCTTTTTAAAGGTCCTGCAGATTGCTCATTAGGACTGTGGCCTGAGCAGGAATTTTGTCCTTTGAAAGAAAAGTATTTTTGGACTGAAAAGGACATAATGGAGTCAGATGATCCTGCATTACTTTATGARTTCTCTTTTCTGTAAAGAGCTTTTAGAAGAAAGCAATTAGTCTGAAACTTTATCTGGATCACCCAGTTTTAGTTCAGGATACCCAAATTTCCATGGGACTGTGACAGTTTAACTGCCATTAGGGTTTGAATGACTATGTACTTGCTTATCGTATACTAGTAGTAATTATCTTTGTTTGTGGGTATGGGACTGGATTTTGACTCAGCAAGTATGCAGCCTAACTTAGGGGAACAAGCATGTGGGTCTCAGGTTCCCAAATATTTAAAACTTTTTTCTGTTTAACCTTGAGTGCTGTTTGATTTGAATTTGTTAATACAGCTGCAGTTTACTCTGACATAATGTGCTTCCTACAGAGGTGCAGCATGAGCACACTTCCCCCCACACATTGGCAGTACATAGAAGAATCTCTTGATAATTTAACAAAGGAGGTCAGCAGCAGTGTTTCTCTGTTATTTTCTCACAATAGCACATGTGTGTGTGTTGTGTTAGTTTTGAGTTGTCTGCTACACTTCTCCTTTCAACTACCTGCCCTGTAGGTAGAAGTCTGTAGAACATTTGTCACTTACAAATGACAGTAAATGAGTTTAAAACATGGACATTCAAGGCTTTAAAAGCAAGTCATTTTTGCTTGGGTTTAAAAGTCAAGGGACACRTCTTAAACACTGCAATTTCACTACAGACCATTTATCTATGAATGAAAATGCAAGCAAGCCAATTTCATCCTTGCTCAAAAAAAACCAGCATTATGCACAGATTCTAATTGCTGTTCTAATTGAAAAAAGTTAAAAATCATAAAAGTGTGTTAGAAACTCAGTTATGTACTTATGTAATAAAAGTTGCTACTGATGGACAGATACCATACATCTGTGATGGTAAAACCTGGAATTTTATCAAAAAAATTAACTGGTTCCACTTCAGCATTAGCTAGTACCTATTACATGGCTTTGGGAGTTTCATTAGCCAACAGATGGGGCTGTGGAGCTTGTTCTCAGCATCTTGTCTGTCCTGGCACAGGTTTTTAAAGCAAGGTCTTTTACTGAGAATCTGTATGTAAGTTATTTACATAGAATTTCTTCAGGGTGACTGTTGGACAGCAGAATTTTCCTAAGAACCATTTGAGTGTTACTCTCTCATATAGTAATGTGAAAAACATTAAACTTTAGACTCTACACACAGATGTGTAGAGCTGGGAGGAGCATCAGRATTATTTGTTTTGCACTTSCATTATGGTTAAGTACAGCTCGATGAYTGCTTAGCTRATTTGCACCTAATGCATTCAGAACTCTCCAAGAGCAGGAATTCTGGTTTTCCTATATATCCCACATAATAGTTATTCTTTCAAGCTTGGCTTCCCAGTGCCTAATTTAAGTCTTTAGTATGTGTAATCAATATATTTAAATCTTAGTCACAGCTCTCTATGGACATTTTGAGGTACTTGCGTTCCTTGCTCCTAGCCCTCTCTCTTTAATAGGGATAAGGATAGCTATTCAGCCTTTCCTATAGATTAAGTCTTTTAGTGTTCTTGCAATCCTCTGGAATCTCTCCCATTTGTGTACTTTACAGTTCATTGCCAGAGACCAGACAATATTTCAGCTGGAGAATTCATCAGCACCAAGTAGAGCAGAATAATTATCTTCCCTATATTACAGAGATATTCTGTCACAAATRGTCCATGTAAATAGCAGTTTTGACAGCATCAAGTCCTAGGATGTCACCACTTCCAGTTATTCCCAAAACTGTTACTCTCACATCTTTCCTTCTTGCCCAACATAAACTTCCATCACAGTACATTTCTTTATTGCTTACCTTTTACCAATTTTAAATCTTCTTCATTGAACTGAACTAATTTGTCAAAGAGTCAGTTTTGCAGAGCTACCCTTTTCTTCAATGACTAGAAGGGGGGGGAAAATAAAAAAAAGCACTCCTTTGCTCTGAATTTAAGGAAACCTGAGTGCCATATCAGGTGGCACTGGGCTGATGAGGCTGCCCAGATGTACTGAATTTAGGCTGGGTGTTCCCACCTCAGCCCTTGGCTGCCTGGTTGTTCTTTTTCACATTAGTGTGATTTAATTTTTGGCAAAACATTGCAGATACTGACATGGTTAGAAGAATCTGCCTTTCCTTGTAAATCAGATCTCAGGATGTCCTGTTGGGCATCTACCAATAGTTACAGACATCTGCGTTTACACTTTAGCAGRATTTGGTGAACAAATCTTATTACATTAATATTTGTTATCAAGTAAATTGGTAGTGATGTCCTAAGCAGCTTGTATGTTATCCATGGTGGTCAACAGAGTTTTGGTACACAAAGGAACTGGAGTTGACCAATAGCTGTCTTTATCCTGTCCCATTTTTATCAGATTGTGCTCTTTAGAAATATTCCYTTCACTACTAACATACATCTATTCYATAGATAAGTTGTGTGCATGTAGCTTTTACTCAAAAGTGTAGAAGCAACATTTGAGAGTAACATTCAAAAACTAGGAAACATTAGMATTAACCATATCTATAAAATGTCACTTTTTTGCGCATTGGTGATACAGCTTTTAATTAGAGGAATGTGCATTCACAAGTGGATATTGCCCACAGAACAAAGCTACTCATTTGTGGTTTGATTTGGGGGTGCAAATTTTACTACATGCTGTAAAAATTCTGCTTATTAATATCAATATAAATTATCAAYATACATGTATACATATGGGACTTGGGGTGACTAGCTGCAGCATAAGAAGGTTCATGAAAAATTATGATATTACATAACACTTCTCTACTGTAATGCACATTATTAGTCCTTTAACCCTTTTTAGAGCTAGGAAACTGGAACATAGAAATGTCAGTACTTCTTAGGACTTTAYCTGATTCTTATTATTTTTCTTCCTTTTTATATCATGCCTCTTACCAGCCATCATCCTCTGGAACATCTTTGGTTTTGTTTTAATTTGCACTCTAAAATCCACCCTGAAGTAAAAGTAATTGTCATACTAAACCTAGATAAGCAGCTTTCCAATTCTGTCCCTGCCTCTCCCCCTCTCCCCCTCCCTCATGCCTGTGTATCACATAGAAGCCTGTGTCCTGTTTTGTTGCCAGTGCTTCAGAGYTGAAGGCAACTTTTACTGTGAAATAGAATACAGATTTTGCAAGTACAGACAAATCGCTGTGAGACTGACTTGTGCACGACTTATCTTTTGAAATATGGGGTGTTGAAAACAATGCTGAGGCAACCCCAAGGAAGGGTTCAGACCTTGCTGCTGTTACAGTCTCTCTGCCATCTGGCCACGCTGCTCTGCCTGCTCGGCTCTGGTGTATGATCCCAGGGATAAATGGTGCTCTTCATTTTGTGGCTAATCGGACTAGAATGTCAGCAGCTCTTGACATCAACAAAAACTAACCACTGAATGCTCAATGATTTGCACGTGATGTTATTCCCCAAAGGGCTTATTATAAAGTRGTGTCTTGGATACAAGTGTTTTAAATTATAGGTCAGTACTGGTACAGTAAGTAAAATTCCTTTTCTTGCCCTCTCCCAGTTCTACAATGACTGAAATTTTTGCTGGCTTCTGCACGGTTTTGTTCTTTCCATTTAACACCAAACTTCTGTGTGCTAGAAGTTTCA